CATCTATTACTTCCTCAGGAAGTTCTTCCCACACTGAACCACCGTCTGTGTAAAAAATTTGCCTCTTACGTCTTTTTTTAAATCTCTCTCCTCTCACCTTAAAAATGTGCCCCTGGTCTTGAAATCTCCTTTTGTAGGGAAAAGAACACTACTATTAACTCTAGCTATACTTCTCCTTACTTTATAAACCTCTGTCAGGACGCCTCTCAACCTCCTATGCTCCAGTGAAAAAAATCCCAGCCTATCCAGCCTTTCTTTATAACTCAAACCTTCCATGCCCGTCAACATCCTGGTAGATCTCTTCTGAACTCCCTCCAGCTTGATAGCATCCTTCTTATAACTGGATGACCAGAACTGGACACAATATTCCAGAAGAGGCCTCACCAATGTCCCGTACAACGTCAACATGACTTCCCAACTCCTAAACTCAAAGCACTGAGCAATGTAGGCAAGTATGCCAATCGCCTTTTTAACCACCCTGTCTATATGTGACACAAAATTCAAAAAATTATGCACCTGCACCCCTGGGACCCTCTATTCTACAACACTACCCAAGGTCCTACCATTAATTGTATAAGCCCTATCCTTGTTTGTTGTACCAAAATGCAATACCTCACATTTATCCAGATTGAACTCCATCTGTCATTTTTCAGCCCATTGACCCATTTGATCAAGATCCCAGTGTAATCTTAGAATACCTTCACTGTCTACTGTGTCACCAATTTTGGTGTTGTCCACAAACTTAGTAACCGTGCCTTCTACATTCTCATCCAAATCATTTATATAAATGACATACAAAAGAGGACCCAGAACCAATCCCTGTGAAACACCACTGGTCACAGGCCTCCATCTGAAAAGCAACCATCCACCATTACTCTCTGTCTTCTGTTGTTAAGCCAATAATGTATCCAATTGGCAAGCTCATCCTGAATCCCATGTGACCTAACCTTACTAATTAATCTATCATGCAGAACCGTTCAAAGGCTTTACTAAAATCCAAATAATGATTGAACCTCTTAAAATATTATCAAATTATGCTCTCCATCATTGAAACTGTTCACTGTTCTAAGTTCTGCAGAAAATGCAAAGGTTAATCTCTAGCTTCTCTTCCCACAAATTATCCTCTTAAACCACCCTCCCTTACCTCCCCTACCTCCCACTCTCACCTTGAAGAATAATTGTAAGCAGCTCACTACTTTATTGTCACTAAGATTGAGACAATTTATTCTGCTTCTCAATCTTCACCTTGTCCATCAGGACAAACAATTTCTTTGTAGGCATATCCCTGAACTCATATCTTTCTCTTAGTTTTCTTCCATCATCCTGTTATGGTCTCTACAACCTTATCTTTGCTGTGAGACTAAACCCCTCCTCCCTTAATCCAATTCTGACCAATCTATTGATCTACCAACTTTCGTTTCTGAGCTCCATGTTAGCTGATATTATTAATGGGTTCTTCTCTGTTTTCCAAAACAATATTCAAAAGTGCTATCCTTCACAGTGTTGTCATTTGCCAAATTCAATGGCCATTTTCCCCAGAATTCTATGTTTGAATCTTCCAAGCAGTTTTTGAGCTATCCACTAAAATAGCCTTTGTAAAAGTCAGAAATCACTTCCTTTCCAATTGTGACAATAATAAACCATCCCTCCTTGCGCATCTGTAGCCTTTGACACAGTTGATGAAACCATCCTTATCCAACTGCCTTTCCCATCTTCCAGTTGGGTGGTACCTTGCTAGCTTATTTTTGTTTTTGTCTATCAAAATATAAGCAGAGAATCATCTATAATGGTTTCTCCTCCCACTTCTACACTGTGGTCTCACAGTGATCGATTCTTGGCACCCTTCTGTTTCTCATCTACAAGCTATTCTTCAGCAACAAATTCTGGAAACATCAAATCACTTCACAGCTTCTTCCTTCCATCTTCAGTAATCTCTTCTAGACTTACAAACCTTTGAGCTGTCACTCTGCTTTTTGTGTCCATGCTTTCAGTTATCTTAGTCTTAAGCTCTGGAGTTATCACATTAAACTTTCCTGCCTGTCTACCTCTCTTTCTCTCTCTCTCTCTCTCCCTCTCTCTATGACTCTCCTCTTTCAAGAAAGTCCTTAAAACTTATCATTGATCAAGTTTTCACTTTTCTGCCTTGATATCTTCTTCTCTCGCATGTGTTTTTATTGATAGTGCTGTTGCTATATGCCTTGGGATGTTTTACATTCATGTGCTATTTAAATGTAGGTTGTTTTTGTCATGGATTGTGGTAACAAAATTATGGGTGGAGGTTTCAGCAGCAGATAAACTGAGGAAGGGATGCAATCATGCAATATTGCAAAAGTGGAAATACCATATAGATTGTAGGTAATAAGTAGATTTAACTGCAATTTGCTTTTCTTCCTTATTCCTGCCTTTAATGGTTATGTGAAATTGTTGAACTTCTTTCTGTTCACTGTAAATCTGTTTCACAGACATGCTGCAAAGTGTTGGGAACACAGTCTGCAGTGTATTAACAGAACATCCCAGCAAAACAAAGTTCGCAATAAACAACTGCACCTCCCAGTCGCGAACCATTTCAACTCCCCCTCCCATTCCTCAGACGACATGTCCATCCTGGGCCTCCTGCAGTGCCACAACGATGCCACCCAAAGGTTGCAGAAACAGCAACTCATATTCCGCTTGGGAACCCTGCAGCCCAATGGTATCAATGTGGATTTCACAAGTTTCAAAATCTCCCCTCCCCCCACCGCATCCCAAAACCAGTCCAGCTCGTCCCTGCCTCCCTAACCTGTTCTTCCTCCCATCTATCCCCTCCTCCCACCTCAAGCCGCACCTCCATCTCCTACCGACCAACCTCATCCCGCCCCCTTGACCTGTCCGTCCTCCCTGGACTGACCTATCCCCTTCCTAACTCCCTACCTACACTCACCTTTACTGGCTCCATCCCCGCCTCTTCGACCTGTTTGTTTCCTCTCCACCTATCCTCTCCTCTATCCCTCTTCTATCCGCCTCCCACTCTCTCCCTATTTATTTTGGAACCCCCTTCCCCTCCCCCTTTTCTGATGAAGGGTCTAGGCCCGAAACGTCAGCCTCTCTGCTCCTATGATGCTGCTTGGCCTGCTGTGTTCATCCAGCCCTGCACCTTGTTGTCTCGGATTCTCCAGCATCTGCAGTTCCTACTATCTCTGATTCACCAATCTGGCAGTTCTGTTAAAAGCAGAGCAGATCATCAAACAGACACGTCTTCATTGTCTGGGGCATGTCTGCAGCCTTAATGGCAGTCACTTACCCAAGGACTTTCCAGATGGTGAGGAAGCCGGAGCCAGAAGATCGGTAGGATGCTCAACACTTCACTTCAGGGAAAATGGCGGCACTTCCTGTGGACTACCATGATAGCCAATGGGCTGCTACAATCTGGCAACAGATGGCAACACAGCAAGACCAACTCTTAATGATACCTGGTAGCTTCATGTTCCATACTGGTGGCAGAACCTGTCTCTCAAGGATTGGGCTCTTCAGCTATCAGCCAAAGTGTGCATGAACCCACCCCAATCTTAATTGATGCTTTAAGGAATGGCTATCATCCTTCATAGCTGGAAGAATGCTGAGGACAAGTAGTTAGGTGATTATTTAATAACCACCAGAAAATCATCAGCATTTAATACACAACCATTATAAACAGACATTAATCCTAGAGGAACTGCGAGAAGGAGCTCGAGCCACCTGCTCTAGATCCAACACACTTACAATAAACTAAAGTCAGAATTAACACACTGTTGAGGAATGCAAGGGTTTTGTATCTGCACTGTTGCTCTGAGCTGCAAAGGGAAATCTGTTATGTTTTCCCTCTGCAACATCTTGAAGTGACAGTGAGCTGCTCTGAGCCTTTGGAATTTAAATTCTGAGCCAGTGGAATTTAAACAACCTGGGTCTCAAACTAATAATAAGAGAGGGACGGTGGTGGTGGAGAGGGTTGGGGTGGAGGGGGAGGGAGGGGAGTGAGGTGTTCGTGATTGATGCCCCCTCCATCATTTACACATAAACCATCCTCGGTTAAAAGGCCTTCCCCTATCCCATTAAAGCCATCTTCAACCAATGGATTAAAAAATAATTTACATAAAAATACTTGAAAGAATCTGAGCATCCATAATTCAGTTTAAAAAGGCACAAACCCTCTAAGAAATATCTGTGACAAATGGTGTGGGAAAATTGATGTCTTCGCTTACCATGACCATGGAAGTTAATTTGTCTTATCAGTCTGTTAAGATTGAGGGCTGGAGTATTTGTTTCTTTAAAAAAAATCTCAGAATCTGCAAACCTGTTCAAGTGGAATTTATGGTTTTACTGTTAGTTCACCTGGGATGTGGTTACTGGTTGTGATCCATCCCTGATTGCCTTGAATTGAGTGGCTTGCTACATCTATTTCAGAGGGCAGTTGAGAGTCAGCCGCATTTCTGCGGGACTGCCGTTAAATGTAGGTAAGGGTGACATGTCCTTCCCCAAAGGAGCAGGGGAATAACAGTTTCAATGTCACGAGTATTGAAACTAACTTTCAATTCCAGATTTATTCTGGTTCAGGATATCTAGTCGTCATGGACAAGTTGAAGCGAAGGGTCTTTTTCTGTGCTGTACTTGTCTACGACCCTATGATGCTATTCATTGACCTTTGAACCCATTTCCCAGAGCATTATCCTGGGCCTCTGTATCATTGGCCCAGTGACATTATGCCACCATCTCCACTGAATGTTAAACTATGAAATTGGAAGAAATAGTTTGATGACATATATATGGAGATATATTAAGATTGTATTAATAAAGTAATGAAATACCATGATGAATCATTTACCTGATTAGTGGAAATTACAGACTCACATATTCAAGAGGAAATAAGTGGAACTATATCTAATATCAAGATTCAGAACAGTGCAGCGTTTCACATACATCTAACAATCATTGTTAGTGTTTGGGTCTTTTTCGCAATTTAATAACAGTTTACTGTTTGCTTTTAGGCATTTGGACTAAACAGTCCCGTTCCTCTCGGATGAAAGAGAAACGTGCAGACTTTTCTGTGGGCCACATTGGAGGAAGAGTGATTGTTGCTGGAGGTCTAGGTAAGAATCATCTTTGTGTGATACTGTTTACCCTGTGAGGACTGGGGAAAGCATAGTCATCAGTTTCCCATTTACACGTGAAACAGCAGATCCAGCACTCAATAGCCACGGTCTTCAAGTTATTAAATCATTTAGACAAAATTAAAAAGGGTAAAAAGAAATCAGTAAAAAGGATCAGCTCTGGATCAGCTTCAAACACTTATGGGAATCTGTCAAATCTGAATATAGCACCACATTTACTCTCTCATGAAAAACAACAAAGTAAGAAATAAAATCACATTTACTAAAAAGTCATTTGAAATCTAAAGTCAAGTTTACGTGTTGTATAGTAAACAAAATCCACTGAGTCAAGACGAGTATAAAAATATTAATATTTTAAAGCATTTTAGCACCTAGATTCTGCTGAGTAAAGAGTTACGTAGTTTATAGGCAATAAATATTTCCTGTTTATTGAGGTTTAGAGGTTTAGAAGGTTCAGGGTATCAATTGATTTCAGTTATGGGGCAGTTTCTTCTGAAAAGAGGTTCAGTAGTTTGGGCCTAAACTCGTTAGAGGTTAAAAGAATGAGAGGCAACCTTATGAAAACATAGAAGGTTTTTCAGGGACTTAACTGGGTTGGTTGTTACCCCTTCTGGGAGAATCAAAAAGCAAAGGGCATAATCTCAGAATAAGCGGATGCCCATTTTAAAAGAGATGAGGAGGAATTTCTTCTCTCAGAGGGTAGTGAATTTGTGGAATTCTTTACCACAGACGGCTATAGAAGTTGGATCATCAAATATATCCAAGATTGAGATAGACAGATTATAAGTCAGTATGGAGATCAAAAGTTATAAGGAAAAGGCAGGGAAGTGGAGCTGAGGATTATTAAATTAGCCATAATCTCACTGAAAGGTGGAGCAGACATGATGGGCCGACAAGCCTATTTCTGCTCCTACATCTTATGATCATATGGTTTACTGTTTGCACGAGCCTTGTGTTCAGCCCTTGTATATCTAGAGCTCCTAAATATATTCTTACTGATCTGTGTTCACATAGTACAAAGGAATAAAAGCAGTAAAGTGCAAAGGTAAATAACAAAAGTACGATTGGAAAGCAAAACTGTAAATGCATCTTTTAAATATGTTTATTATTTTACTATGCTGAGTGCACAAAGGAAACATTCCCAGAATATCAAGGACAGGTTTTGAAGGACAGGCCCTCTAATGATAGGAGAGGCCAAGTCTAACATTGTTTGTTGTGATTAGAAGAATATTTGCTGTCTGCCACCTAGATAGAGCAGCATTGGTCAACAGGGAGATTAATCACAGAGTAACAAGTTCATCAGATAGGTTTGGAGATTTTTTGAAAGAAAATGTTTTTTAATGGGATGTGGGCATCACTGGAAAAGCCAGCAATTGTTCTCCCTCCCTAAATGTCCTTGAACTGAATGGCTTACTAGATCGCTTCTGGAGATTTGTTAAGGGTAAACCACATTGCTGTGTGTCTAGAGTCACACACAGGCCAGGCCAGGTGAGGATGGCAGATTTCCTTCCATAATGGGCATGCTTTTATAACAACCTATGGTGATTCCATCATTACTGATATTATTACAGTGATATCACCACTATGCTGCCATGACCTCCTGACAGTTTTGCTTTAAAACATTTTGGAAGGATATGTTAGCATGCTTTATGAATATGTCGTTCTTTTCTGTGGTTGTGAGATATTTAAATGTATTAATACATTAGATTTTTAGTGGATATTTAAGTGTAATAATAAAACAATTCAACAGGTGTGAAATGCACTTTGTTCCAATGCATGAGATGGATGCCTGTCAGCATTGCAATGTAACATGTTGGCTCCAAAGTGCAGTATGTAAGTGCTGAACTGGATTAAAAGTGAATCCCAAATGTGCCCCAATGATGTGCTGAGGCTGCTTTTTGGTAATTGCCAACCTCTGTAGATGAAGGATGCAGGTAGTCAGTGCCCATGGACCATTCCCTGAGATGTTGGGGAATTCTGCCCCAAGATGGATATCTGCGGGTTAAAGTTACAGCCACCAGATACCCAATCAGACTTTCAGGATGAGAATTATCAACATCGAATTTGCCTCCACTTCCTAGGAAAATATCAGAATGTGTATAAATGAGATGAGATTAGGTAATAATGAGACGTTAATACACACAAATAGGCCTCTCATAGCTTACTTGTGAGATTCTTGTCTCACTGTTAAAAATTTGGCTGGAAAATCACATTTTTTCTTGACCTCGAGAATCTTATTTTCCTGATCTAGCCATATGTTCCCAACTGACTCACTCATTGCGATGACATTCAGGTGCAGGGAAGATTCAGTCCAATGTTTTTAAAAGGGCAAAAGAAAGAGATTCTTATTAGTCGATGGTCTAAAAACAAATAGAATTTGACAAATTCTCACAGAACACCAGGTTTCATGTTAATAAAATGGAATTGTTTACAGCCTGTAGACTGATGGAAAATCTTACAAGCAACGTTGCTTAGATGAAAATTGAGCTAGTTCCAAGTTTCAAGGTTATAAATTAGTCAAAGTACTGAGATGTTGATGCTTTATCAGTTTCCCAATTCATTTAACTAAGACAGGGAGAGAGAGACTTGTAGCTTTTACTGCAAGCTTTGGAAGTCATCTTCTTTTGAATCCCTTGCTAAAATCCTGAATAATCTAGAAAGTGTCCAAACAGTTCATTATCTTCCACTTCCTTTACATTGTCCATATATAGCTCCAACAATTGCAAGAATGAATTTTGCTTGTCTGAACTCAGACTACTCATGGCAGTGACCATCTAAAATTGCAGTCTTGTACTTGATGCTCTGCCGTGGGATCTTGTATGCTTGGGTATTTGTTACCATCACCAGGAGGCAATTGAGCTGTGGGGAAGATCCTTTGGCTCAGTGGCAAGAAAGTATGGTACATTTTCAGCTTTTGCAATGCTTTTGCAAGACCATTTGTAGTCTTGTGTAAGTGAGAAATACTTTGGGTTTGTTTGTTCTCCATCTGTAAAGATTTTACAGAATTGAGCTGCTCTAGTGACTATGTATGTACATAAAGATTTTTTATGAATAAGTTATATTTTTGAAATAAAAAAAAGCCATCCAGTTTAACCCCATTGAATTCCAAGAACTCTAAGCCAGCTGTTATTTACCTTTGATATTTATTGCAGATATTTTTCATTGTGTTTTCAGTTAATTGACAAGATAACAAGCCCAATGTTCTGAAAAATCAATTTATTGTAGCAAGTTCAAGCTTGCCTGATTTTGCTGATGTATTCAAATCTATTGCACCAGAATATCACAATCATTAAACCTTTGTTCTCCATTATATTAAGAAGAGAATGAACTTCTTTAGAACAGTTAGTTTAATATCTGTCATTGGGAAATTGTTAGAATTCATTATTAAGGAAGTAATAATATGACACTTGGAAAGGCAAAACACAATCCATCAGAGTTAACATGGTTTTTGAAGGGTAAATCATGTTATATCTTCTTTGGAGATATAACATAGAAGGTAGATAATGGAGATCCTGTAGGTGAAGTATATCTAGACTTCAGAAGGCATTTGACAAGGTTAATACACAGAGAAAGATCACAAGGAGTTCAGGGTAGTTTATTATCTTGGATAGAGGATTGGCTAACCAACAGAAAGCAGAGAGTTGGGATAAAGGAGTCTTTTTCTAGTTGGCAAGATTTAATTAGTGGGGTGCTACAGGTTTGGGTCCTTGGGTCTCAACTATTTACAATCTTTAATAATGACTTAGATGCAGGGATAAATTGTACTGTGACCACATTTGCAGCTAACACTAATATAGATGGGAAGGTAAGTTGCAATAAAGAAATAATAAATTTACAACAGTGTCATAGAGTCATTTAGCTCAGAAAAAGACCCTTTAGTTCAACGTTTCCGTCCCAACCAAACATCCTAATCGGACCTAGCCCCATTTGCCAGCATTTGGCCCACATCACTCAAAAGCCTCCCTATTCATATACCCATCCAGTTGCCTTTTAAATGTTGAAATTGTACCCATCTCCACCACTTCCACTGGCAGCTCATTCCGTACGCACACCAACCCCCAATCCCCTTACTTGAGGAGGGATGTTTTTTGCATTGGAGGCAGTTCAGAGGAGGTTCACCAGATTACTTCTAGAGGTGAGGGGTTTGTACTAACAAAAGAGATTAAGCAGTTTAGGCCTATGCTATCAAGAGTTTAGAAGAATGAGAGGATATTTAATTGAGGTACGTAAGATGCCAAAGGGGATCAACAAAGTAAATGTAGAGTGGATGTTTCCTCACATGGGGCGGAGTCTAGAACTAAGGGGCATAGTTTAAAAATAAGAGGTCTTCCATTTAAGATGGAGATGAGGAGGAGTTCCTTCTCCAAAGGATTTTTAGTCTTTGGAATTCTCTTCTAAAGAGAACTTTGGAGTCTGGTTGAGGTAAACAAGATTTTTGATTGACAAGGGAGCCAAGAGTTATGGGTGCAGGTAGGAAAGTGAAAATAAGACCATGATCAGATCAGAATGACCTAATTGAATGGTAGATTTGGCTTGATGTTCCAAATGCTCTAATTTCTGATGATCTTATTTATGATCTGTTCCCAGTATGAGTCTGCATTTTAGGTGAAGACGATTAAGGGAGGAAATGCACATATCATGTGCATTAACACCTGTTCATCAGCGTTGCCCAAATGTCTTGATACACCCAGTACACGTCTATTCAAATTCTACAATTATATTTTTAAATATATTCTTCTAATAGGCATCCGTGCAACTAGGACAATATTTCAGACTAAAAAAAAACTTCTTTTCCACCCTATCTGTCCTCATCTGTCCTTTCATCTCTTTTGTCAATCTCTACTAAGTAAGGTCTCTATGTTGGCTTGTCTGCTTGCTTTTGGAATGTTCTGTTTTTGTACTGTGCCATTGAAACTGTTACTTTTTATGTAACATATTTGCAACCGTTGGCGTGACTATGGTTTACTCCAAATTGAACCATCACCAAATTGATGATGAAACCATTTCCATGTCTAAATATTGTTGTTAATTGTGTATCTTGCTAAATTTGTTTGTTTCAGTAATCATTTGGAGACAGTGGAGTCTCAGCACCTTAATTGAATGGGACAACTTTGATCTGAAGCGGATCTTGAGCCAAATAGATTTTGTGAAGCTCAATCCTGTCACTTTAACAGTGGGGGGTGTCAGGATGACCTCTCTATAGTATTAAAATCAGGTCCTTGAGTCATATTTGGGAACCTAAATTCCCAGACTTCCCAAGGTCAGGAAATGTGGCAGCTAAAGAGAGGTGGAAGAAGATGGATCAAGAAGGTTACATTCATTTTAAAGCACTGCTTGAGGGTTAGGAGAAAAGTTACTCCCAGCAACCACTTCCATCATCACGCCCCACCCCGCCATCAAAAATAAGTCTTCTGCCATTCATGGCTTGTCCTTACTGCCAAACAAAAACACACCAACCTGAGTCACTGGCTAACAATCTGGCAACTCCCTGCAGCATCCCTCCTTCCCCACCTCAGTGTCAATATTTGGACCTTTCTCTTTCCTCCGATGGGATTCAGAAATATATGCAACGAGGGAGAGTACGGAACTGTGCTTTCAGAAGTATCCTTTACAACTCTCTCATTGTCCTTCTTCGTCATTGGAGCATCAACTCCAATGGCCTCCTGCTTCCATTCAATCACATCATCAACCTTCTTGCAGTATTGCTGGTTATTCCTCTGGACTGTGGAAATGACGCTGACCCAGGTAACACTTCAGACCAGGCTGACAGGGTCTTGTGATGTGGTCTCTTCTGCTCATCCTGAGGGAAGAGGATAGCCCTCTTCTGCAGCACCCAATCCACTCGGATCTCCAGGTCTTTGTCAGCAAATTGGGTTGCCAACTATTCGTCAGATGTAGGAATGACGCAGTGCAGCTCCACACTGACAGTTCTGGCTCACGGTTATGCTTCAAATACAGTGCTGGTGGCATTAATCCAGGGAGGTCCCAGCAGTGGCAAGTATTTCTGCCTCTAGTGAGAGGAACGATATAATGAGTGGGCTGCCACAGAGGTGTGGTGCAAAAGTAATGAGGTGGGTTTTAGAGAATAGCAGGAGAAATCTCACCAAGGGTCATGGAGAGAAACCTTTGTGTAACTCACCAAAACTGACACAGTTGACTTTTGTTAAAATTCGGCCCTTGAATGGTAAATTAAACTTTTTGATATCATGTCACGATCTCATTCCTGCCAGTCTCACCCTGTTTTCCCAACTGACTTGCCAATGCCCACCTTGTTTGATGGATGGGGATTCCGCCCTATCTTTTCTCTTTATGGACAATGATGGAGTTGGTTTGCATCTTCGGTATTTTTCTGCTTTAATGTCTGAAAATTCAGCACCTGGGCAGTGAAGGTAAAACAAAAAGAAATATTAGACTTGAAATATGTTGCAGTTGTGTCTAATGGGCTGCTGTCACATGTGGAACATGATGGAAAATACCAGTGACCATGTCATTAGCTTCAGTGGGGATTAGAGAATGGGAATAAGATAAACTGATTTCACACTGACTTTACATTTATGAGGGTGAAAGTAGAAGTGATGAATTGAAATAAATATAACTTTTGTCATGGTGGTGTTAACTCACCTGACAGAAGCATTGGTGTGCTTCTTGTCAATTTAGCATAAAACGTTCACATTTTGTAAGGAAGATATTACCCTCAGAATTGCTAGTTGCTAATTCATAACTCAATTTCACTTTATGCCCATGAGAACTTGTTTTTTGCTGTGTTCCCTAATAAAACATCATCCTATCTCTCTCAGTCACTTGTACATCTCATCCAACATCACAGGGCATGAGACTCATCTCTTTTTACATGAATGTAAGTATAATACAATGAAACTATATGTGAAGAATCAATAACCAGAGCTGTAGAGCTCCTTCTAAACTGCTTCTGGTGTTTCTTGGGGAAAATTGGAAATTTTCATTAAATTTTGTATGTTAGAAATTATTGTATGTAAGCTCAGAAATTATTTTATTTTAAAATCAATCGCTCTTTTGACTATGATAATGCTTGTGTTGATCCATATAAATGGCTGGATTGCAATTCCCAAAAGCTATAGTTCTCTCCTCTATCAACTGTGCTATAATTGAAAAACAGTCTCTCCCTCCGATGCTCTTCTCTGTTTTCAGAAACACAAACACTCTCTAATGCTTTTAACACAGAGGGATGCTGTCACTCCTCGATTATAATTGCAGGTGAGGGGGATTATCAAGCCCTGCTTGGTCAATCTGCCCAGAAGACCCTGGGTGTAATTTTGAGCAGGCAATAGGAGTCTGACCATCAGCTGGTGTGACTTTCTCCCTGTGCCTGTTTTTGAGAAGGCTCACTGCGTCATGTGCCACTCAGGCAGTCGTCAGGTCAGTGGTGGGATTTGTCTTGGATCAAGAACCCTAAGGGTGAAATTTCTACTTGCCAAAAACTGCCAACCAATCAGAGATGACAGTCTATACACATTGGCACACTGGGAGACAGTGGCTGCTGTTGGCACAACAACTGTCTGAGGCCTTGCATTGAGGAGGGCACACTGTGGGTGATAGTGGGAGGGGCTTTTCAGAGCAGTGGAAGTGAGGGGAGTGAGCAGAAAAGAGGGCAGTGTGGCTTTTGTAATGTCAGATTCCTCCATCAGGCACTGAGTGCCTTAACTAGGCCTCCCTCCCCAACCCTTCCTAGAGTTTGTTTGTTGTGCTGCTGACATGGCATGCCACCCACCATGGGATTTATACCAGCAAAAGTGGGATCAATTAATTAATTGCCCACTTAAGGGCCTTCATTGGTGGGTGCAGGAAAGGCCTTCCAGCCAGACTTAATTTTGTTGTAGACAAAATGACAGTGGGGTCTCAACCTTTAATTTCCCACCTGATTAAGTGCTGCCTGCTACAAACTTGTCACAAGTGATGGCGTCAATTTTGCCTACTTTGTCTGCCTTATAAAAGCATTTAATTGTTTCTTAAATAATTCCAGTACTGATGTCTTCATTCTTCTATCCGGGATTCAATTCCATATGTTCATTATTCCTTGTATGAAGCAGAACATTCTGATATCAGTCTTAAATGTACATTTTAATATTTTGAACCTGCGTATCCTGCCATGCTTTTACAATTTAATATTTTGGATTTACACCTTCCATACCTTTAGCTATCTTGTGTACCTACGTAAGGTTGTCTCAAGCGCCTCCTTTACATGTTGAAAAGTTTAATACACTTAAGTGTCTCTTCATAATGAGACCTCTTCCACCAGGGTTCAGCATTTTAATGTCTCCCACTTATCTCAATGTTCAAGACCAAACTTGACAATCTTTTCAGCCAAAGACTCCAACAAGGGGCAGCACAGTGGCTCAGTGGTTAGCACTGTTGCCTCACAGCGCCAGAGGCCAGGGTTCAATTCCACCCTTGGGCGACTGTCTGTGTGGAGTTTGCACATTCTCCTTGTGTCTGCATGAGTTTCCTCCAGGTGCTCCAGTTTCCTCCCACAGTCCAAAGATGTGCAGGCTAGGTGGATTGGCCATACTAAATTGCCCATAGTGTTCAGGGAGGTGTAGATTAGGGGAATGGGTCTGGGTGGGATGCTCTGAGGGTTGGTGTGGACTTGTCGGGCTGAAGGGCCTGTTTCCATACTGTAGGGATTCTATCATTTCTGAGCTTGCTACTTCTCACAAGGAATGGTACTACACAGTGAATGGAAATTCTTAATCTACTGCAGCATAAGGAATTGTTACTCGTTAAACTTGCAGAATATTTCCTTTATGCGAGATTGAAGCTGGATTGTTGAGGTTAGAGAGATGGTACAGTTACATATGGTGAACTTTAGCTGTGAGAATGACTGTGAAAACGTAGCTTAATTCACACATGGAAGTAGACACCCTAGCATGTAGTGGACGAGAAATACATCTTGATGATACTGTACAAAAAACTCAGAATTGATGTTGGCCAAACCAATTACACTTCAGGTGATTTTTAAACGGTTCCTTATTTTGTTGCATTTTATTTGAATTTCAGGAAACCAGCCCTCGCCACTTGGATCAGTGGAAGGGTTCAATCCAAACAAGAGGAAATGGGAAATTCTACCTGCAATGAATAATCCACGCTGCTCTTGTTCCAGTCTCCAAACTGACAACATGCTCTTTGTGATTGGTGGTGTGGCACAGGGACCAACTAATGCTGTGGAGGCCTTGTGTGACCAAGAGAGTGTTTGAACACTTTAAAACAGCAAGCGTATGGATCAGTATCTACTCAAGAACTTAGAAGCTTCTTGGTCCTGTCAGTGTTGTTTGATTTCGGTAAAGAATCTGTGTTGTCAGTGAAAGCTGTTAAAATATATTTTGTGGTTCACAGACTTACAAGAAAAACTTAAACACAAAGATGATGTTTTCTCTTGAACTTCCACAAGATACACAACTATGGATTAATAATAGAGATGGGCTTAAGCAGTTATATCCAATCACTTATTCTATTGACATGTTTTCAATCCAGGTGGATAAATTGTTAATAGAAAGCAACATTGGGAAAAAGTTCCTTTGTATTGATGATATTCCCTTGTGTCAGCAATAGATATCATCCTCCTTTCAAAAGACAGATGCTAAAGATTTGAAGTCAAAACCTCAAGATAGGAAAGTGATGGCTACTTAGCAGCACTTTGTTACAGTCAGAGTTAGCAATGGGACCATGTTGACCAGTTTCAATCTGTTATTTGAAAATTTGCAAGAAGAGTCTGGATAATGATAAGGTAATCCATGGACTCTTAAGATCTTTTGCAGCAGTTTACATTATTGTAGGTACAATCTGATAGTCGAACAAGTTATTCTAAGTGTACATTGTGTGTCCCAGATTGAGCAAGATCCAGGTGACATTCCTGTGTTAATCCCACTAAAAGTGCAGCAAGGTTTTTATATTGTTGAAGCAGTAGGAATGCTGTGACAATTTTGTAATCATGTTCTAACACTAAGTCATTTATAAATTATGTTTCTTTAATAATATCAGATCAATGTAAGCATTCTAGAGGACTGTTATATTAATACAAGTGAAGTCATATATTTGTGCTATTCAAATCCAAGCACAGAAAGCTTCTGCAGTACAGTATAACAAGTGTACGCTTCCTAATAAAGGATAGTACACTTTATAAGCGGTATATTATAACACAAGTCCTACATAAGATTAGATTCTATCAAGATCTTGGACTGTGAAGCTATGAAATGTTGTAAAGGCAGTATGGCAATTCAACACTTGGGTTCTTTAAGTTTATTTAATTGGTACCAAATTAAGTGCTTTAAGTTTGCTGAACTGGTATTCCAGAGTATAAGAGATTTTCCTGTAGTGGGTGCCACTTCTGAAATGTATACAATAGTGCTGCATTAATAGCCATATTTTAATAATCCACGCTACTCTTGTTCCTGTGGTGTGGCACAGGGAACTATTAATGCAGTGGAGGCCTTGTGTGACTGAGAGAATGTCTGAACACTTCGAAACACCACTTTGAAACATAGCTACATTGGTATTGGAACAATATGGTCACTGCTGGATTTCTATAGTGATTGTAATATCAGTTTTAAGTTCAACAGGGGATCGGTACCACTACAGGACAAGTTCATACTGTACCACTAGAAGTAAATGTTCTACCATATGAACGAATATGAACCATATTATGTTTCTACTTGAAGCTACAACTTCCATGTCAAATTTACCTGCAGAGCAGCAGAAATAATCATAGTTCAGAGCAAGACTTTTGCTCTGTTCTAGCTCCATCACCTCCATCATCACACACCTAGGACCTTTATTTACCAATTGATTTCATTAAAACATTGGGCAACAACACAGCCGACTGAATTAAATTCAAGACTCTTGCTGAGTCTGCAGAATAGTAGCCCAAATGTCAGAGAAAGATGGAGTGCCTGATTGTTTATAAATAGTGTAATTTAATTTGGGTGAGTGAGGTTGCATTACATTCTGCGTCTCTCATGTCACAGCAGTTTAATACATAACAGCGGCAAATGGTGTTCCACAGAAGTGCCACATCAGCTCAAGGAAGGAGTATTCAATAGCATTGTTTGAAATCAGTTTAATGGTAGTTCCTCTAGCTGACACTGTGTATAAGGAAGGGTTTTTTTTAAAGCTGTATCACTCCAATAATCTATTGTGAGGTTATGTTGTTGCATTTAAAATACTGCAAAGTTCCTTTAGAGGTAAACGGAACTACTTCACTGTTTCATTAACTAGCATTGCCTTGTGATGTTCAAATGGTATAATTACCTCAGTAAATTATCAGTGCCACATTTATAGTGGTCTTTCTTTAGCACGAGTGATGTTCTTATAGACCTTACCCAGTCAAACTATGGTTAGCTTCCTATTATAAAATGAAATCAATATAGTCACTATGGATTTCTTGTAATAGTGTCACAATTGAGGTGTCTTTTGGAGTCTTGCACTAGTGTAATGATGATTAGTTATTTTCCGATTATGGTAATGCTACTTTAAAAAGTAATGTTATAATAATGATGCAATATCAGTGTGAGATATTTTAGTTGTGGTACTGCAGTGTCAGTGAGGTTCCATTTGCTGTATCATATCAGTGTGACTCATATTCCTTCAATAGTATTGCATCAGTGAAGCTATGGAAGTTTCTTATAATAGTACAAGTTTCTAGCAAGTCTATGTGAGCATCATCAGGGCTGTTATCAGTGTAAATGAAATGTCAGGTTACTTTTGTAGGTAATCAGTGTGTGTGGTGTCCATAGAAATGCAGCATTAACATTTCGTCGAGGTGCCACATCGAGATAATTGAAGTGTTAATGGTGGCAGTAGATTATCATAACAATATAATGTTCCTGAAGTTAAATTTCTCCACTTTAACTTGCTTAGACATCTAAGTTCAGACAGCATCCTGCAGAACAGCACTGTGACCATCTTAATAGATTTAGAGGAAGGTACCTCTAGTATTAACACACATATATGACTGTGATTCCTGTAGTTGTATTGCCCCAGTGCAAGTAAAGTGCTTACCATATCTTTAAATCAGTTTGTATACCAGTTTATATTTCTATGGCTGTGTCAAACAACCCTGTATAAGACTGATAAAAGTATCACTCATATAAACCTGTGAAGTCCATATACTAAAAGCACTTTTTTAAGTGAGGATCCAAGACAAATACGTTTTCCTTTATCTTCCTCATGTAGATTTGAATGTGACCTTCATTATCTGTGCATTTCAAAGAGGGACTGCCAGAAGATAATATATTTCAGTTTTAACAATGCACTACTTACAAAAAATCTGTGTCATTTATGGAAATATGAACACAAACAATAAAAAGGCAAATCATCTTTGACTAATTAAATTGTTTTAATTGTATTTCTTTTTACAATTTAGTAGCAGCCATGGGGAGGAATAATTAAAGACACTGTTCAAAATAATAGTTATATTGTCATTATGCAAGTATTAACATGTAAATGATTTGTATGTACGGTTCTATCAAACAAAAAAAAAGTTTCTCATTATAACTGTGGTTCTCATTCTGTTGATCAAGTGATACTTCTCACTAGATGGAGCCTTATTGTGATTGTATTTTACCAGTCTAAAGGTGGTAGTTTACACAAGAAATGAAGACTTTGCAACCCAGTTGAAGAGCCAGGAAGTGATTTGTTTTCCCTTCTTTTAGGAGGTGTGCTGTAGTAAGTTGTTTTCATTCACTCAGGGGTTTGGGTTTTCCTGTCTGGCAGTATTTATTGTCCATCACTAATTGTCCTTGAGATGGTGGTGTGAGCTGCATCCTTGAACTACTGCAGTCAATTTGCTGTAAGTAGACCCACAATGCCATTAGGGAGGGAATTTGACCTAGTGATACTTGGGAAAGGGTGATATAATTCCAAGTCAGGATGATGAGAGGCTTGGAGGGGAACTTAGAAGTGGTGATGTTCCCATGTATCTGCTGCCATTGTACTTTGGGATGCGAGTCGACATGGATTTGGGAGAAGCTTTACAAGGAGCCCTGGTGAATTTGTGGACTGTGCAGGTTTCCCTGGATCAGAAATCCGAGCAGCAAAAGTCTCAGTCCTAAGAGTTGCTGACTAACCAAAGGCTGGCAACTATGCATTGCAGGGGACACCAGCAGAAGTGGTGGCTGCTGCTGGAATTGCACCCACTGACAGAGGTGCAGTTTCAAGTTTTGAGGTGCTTGTTTTCCTACGTTGTATCATTTGAGTCCCCAGAATGAGTGATAAGTGAAACAGGCAGGTTTTACCTAGATTAAAAAAAACACAACAATCAAAGCCTCTTATACTTACCAGTCACTTTTCAGAAAAAAAACTTGCTGTTTTCAGTGAAACTATGCTTTTTTAATTAAAAGTGTTAGTGCAGGTAGTCAGTAGAAATTTTATTTGGAAATGTTAAATTTATATCATTATCTATAATGTAGTTAGAATTGAATTATGCAATAATTTAATTTATTTCAAGCCTATGGAAACAATGAATTACAGAAAATGTACAAAAATTGTTTTATTGGTCAGATAAGAATTACTGTAATAGCAATTGCACCCTATTTGGTTGTTAAAGAAACTCACAGCAGGTTACTATTTTAACTTAAAGAATTTTCAAACTTAGAAATTTCCGTACTTCCAATTCAATTACAAAGGCACTCATTTGAAATGTGACATTCTCAGGAAGATTCTATAGAGCTGTGCAAACCCAGATCAGTTGCTCAATAACATTTAATCATTCAAGGCAATCACAGTATTGCATCATAGTGTAAGATTTAAATGAGTGAAATTAAACATCTCTTCCAATATTAAATGAAGAATCAAAGCATTAAAGGATTAATACGAACAGGTTGTGTTTATCCATCTGTCTCTAAGTTAGAAATCCAAATTCCCAATTGCTTCATGTAAATTATATAGCTGTATCACAGACTGAACTTAAGAGATATAAGTTACATCGCTGTCACATCAAGAATCTCGTTTTTAATTCTAACAAATTTTTACAGCACTGTGAAAGCTGGTTTAAATGCAGGAATATCATGATGGCCATTGACTTTGATTGTGGGGGTAGGGGAGATTGTGGTATGCTCTACGATAGTTAGAACGGCTAGAGTAATAATCTGGTGTGTACTGACAGCACTACGCCACTGGCTACCGGAGACCCAGTATAATGGAAAATCCCAGGCAAAAGATGAATGAGGACAAGTTGGAGGTAGAAGGGTATGGCCATTTGGGAGAAGGAGGAGGAACAGTTTGGCAGCAAAAGAAGGTGGTTGGGTCTCACAGTAACCCCACCATCATCTCTCAGCCCACCTTTCCAATCCAAGGTCCTTCAGTTATGTGAGTTCCTTTGAATGAGGGATCCCTCTCGAAGCCCAGTATTGTCAGGTTTGCTTTTTGGACTTCTCGCAGGCAGAGTCCAACAACCACAGTGGAATGAGGTCCAGCATTAATTACCTACTTAACAGGCCCAATTGATACCCATTCAGGAAAGCTTAGTGCCCTCCTGCCCCAGATTTAACAGGACAGAGATGGGAAGAAAGCAATGTCCCCACCTGAATCTTTCCACTTGACTAAATGTCAACCTACAAACTCATCTCAGGAGTGACGAATTAAATTCGACCTTAATTAAAGAACCTGCTACTGTTACATGATCTAGCCAAATGTGACACCAGTCCTGCACTTTACGCTCAATTCTTACTGTTTGGTAAAGTCATCCATCAAGCAAGGGTCATTTGCAATTACAATTAGACGAACCGTTACCACATTCATAGTGCAATTCAGGTGGGCAATATGTGTGGCCTTGTCATTTTACCAACATCTTTGAGCAAATTAAAAGGTGTTAAAAATTTCTGAGATTCGTTATTGGATCTGTCCCTTCTCTGATGTTTTCAGGAGCTTTTCGGCACATTTTAGTCTCTATCCCAACTGTATAGCTTGCATCATATTACCCTCCTACTGTGTATCCACCATCATTTTACCTTTCCACTGTACACTCAACTGCCACTGTATCATCTATCATATTGTTGTATATACACTATTATGTTGCATGCTCCATCGTTTACCCTCAGCTTCTCACTATTTATCCTATATCAGATTGTTTTCAACTATGAACCCATTATTACAGTTCTCTGCAATTCATTATTTCTGTTACAATATTTCATAATTTATATTCCCTTATCACATTATACCTCATAGCACAATACACTATCTATCATTTACCTCGCATTATACACTATTACTATCTCTTTTTATTATGTGCTTAGTCACAGTGTACCACTATATTTTTGGCTACTGGGTACACTATCTCAATAAAGCCTTAAATAATGAAATATGAGAGCTTTTATAGGATTTGAAACTGCTAAATACATCTTCCTTGAGAATACAGATTGACTGCAGATGCTGTTTACAATGTGATATTATGTTAGACATCTGTAGTGCAGCAATTAGCTGAAAATGAGATCTATCCTGTTGGCCTGTGTGCATAAAGATATTTTATTCACAGTTGCTAAACAGCAGTTGCTACAGCTTTTTGGAGGGGTTTAGGTGTAGGGAGAGACAGAGACAGAGACATATAGCTATGCAGTGAGTAACTCCACGAATATTTAGCCAATCAACTTTAATAACTATTTAAAGCAATTCTGGACACATCAGGCCATGGTAAAAGTAGCATTATTCATTTTTATGTTCAAAGATGAATAGCAAGAGAACTGAAAAAATAATTTCAGCATTCTGTTCCTCCACTAACAGGATGAATTCTAAACTGACAGAGTAAAAAGTTCAACTCCTGAACTGATAGATTTTTATCCAATGGAACTACAGCCTGTTTGTAATTTGCGAATGTTACCACTTGTGAATATTTCATTGATGCAGATCAGAATGTTTGATGTGGAGGAGTAACTGCACAAACAGCTATTTCAAACTCATAGACATGACCTGAAGCAAAGCTGGTTATTTCTACAACACAATGAATGTATATAATGACACTCAAGAAAAGAAGAGGATTAGTTAATGAAGGGGACATTTAAAATGCTGAAAGCAGGGTGAGTTGTCTGCTGTTTAGCAGAAGAATGCTTGCAAAGTCTTCATTGTATGTTGTTTATACACATTAGCCATGCAGATGGCATTAGTATGATCTGTTGGTGGAAAGAAACTGCCATTGAAGATACTGAGTTACAACACACTGTTTACACAGGTAATGCATCATCACATATTCAGTTTAGCTCTTTGTGTACATATAGACAAGATTGGAACAGCTAAATTATTTAAAATAATCTAGATAAAAAGTAGACAAATCACAGATTATCTTAACTGATAGCTAATATATTTTTAAATTAATCAACTTATCAAAATATATTTTTAAATTAATCAACACTAAAATATACTCTGACTTCTGAAGAAGACACGAGGAAAGCAATGACCTAGCAACAATGACAGGCAAGATGAATACATTTGATTTCTTAGAACCGGGTGGGTTGGGGAATATGTTGATAACAGCTGAATAATCAGGTAGCTAATGTAATGGGGAAAACAGGAGGAAGTGTGATATACTTCTTGCAATGAACAGGCAAGATGGATAACATACTGATCAAACATGGGCTGATATGATGGAAACATGCAGTACAAAGGGCACAGACAGCAAAAGCTGCTTTTGAGTAGAGTCTTAATCCACTTTGTTAATGATACATAAATTCTCTAGTATTGTTACTTAGCTACTCTCAGACTACAAACCATTTCACAAGTGAAGATGCAAGTACTTGAGATCACAGGTTCCACCAATATGGCTAAAGTTGGATACAAAAAGCCACAATCAGAATAGAGCTGACTGACTTATTGATTATGATTTGCTCCCTTTAATGGCATGGCTGAAACCGGAAACCTGTTGCTTGTTTAAACTGAAACTGCCATCTGCTTCCCAATAGATTGAGTACATCATGTTTGTTATCAACAATATGCTATCTCATTGCAAAATACTGGATCAAATGTTCAAGTGGATGGTTGCAACAGTTTACACACCAGCTCAACATCCCAACACCAGTTATTTTCTGGTTGATATAATAAAGACTTCTTCTCTCAACATATCAACTTATTAATGAAATAAAAATATCCTGTTCAAGCATAGGACAGTAATTTTTATGTTGAATATTAGTTTTAAAAATTAAAAGCCAGAAAAATTATTGTTATCTAACAAGTTGCTTATTGAAGATTTTTGTGTCAAAAAAGTGGATGAAGCCAAATCCGTCAATTGGTTAAAGTTTCATTGTGGAGTGCATGGCCAAAATAAAGCACCCACATCTTCCACATTTATAAGGGCATATTTAGAGATTTGATGTAGAAAATTAGTGGTGGGGGCAAGTGCTGTTTTGAAGGAACGCTTAGCTGTTCCTGCTGCATCTCCAATGCCAACTAAGGTGCAACCAATCAGCACCCTCTTCTTGTGCTGTAATAAATTATGGTTCTCTTTCCATGTTTGCTTTCTTGTATCCCAGTCCTGAGCAGTGCAAGATGAAACAAAAACTTGTAACGTTGCTTCTCTTTTTAGCAACATTGTGAATTACAAAGCAAATGCTTACATTTGTATCACTAGGATTCTCTCGAGTCTCCCTTTCCGAACCATCTCAAGCACTTGAACAACTCTGTGTCTCAGTGACCGATCTTAATGCAGTCCTCCAGGGTTGGTCTGAAAAGAGCACTGTACATTTTGATCATGACTAATTCTGAATTATGCTCAACTGTTTTAGCTTTTTTAGTTCAGCCTCAAATTGTGGCTATCGTCAACAAGGCTGGCATTTACTGCTCGTCCCTAGTTGGCCTAACAACTGAACAGTTTGCTAAACAACTTCAGAGACAATTAAGAGTCAATTGCATTGGGGAATATACCAATATCAAAATAAACCAGACTTGGTAAGGTTCCTTTTTTTAAAAAGGACATTACAAAGCAGTTTTTTTTTTAAAAAGATGATGTCAGCTTCATGAACTCTTTTTATGAATAACAGTTTGTTTTATTCCAAAGTTTTTAAATTGAATTTAAATTGTCAAACTACCATAATCGAATTTGAATTCATGTGCTCTGGACTACTAACTCAGTAATGATACACGTTTACACTCATTTGGTTTGATCAATCATTGTCCTACATCAGTTGGACCCATTCCAATTTGCCTAGGTCTCTCCACACAATTCATGCAGTATACATGGGGCTTATTGTTCTAGCTTATGTGTAGCAACTTCCACCTGATTATATTAAATTTCCTCTGCTTTTTATTTCCGCGTTATGCTCATTTAATCCAATCCATTCTGAGTTAATTCCTGCAATTCCACTATCTGTCCTACTCTGGTATGTCCAGATTAAATAAAAACACAGGGTCTGAGACATTTTCATAAAGAATTGGGTTCAAATATGTTTCATAAATTGTGATCAAAGTGAGGAATGTTGGGACAGTGGAATCCCCTTTAAAGTATCCTCTGTTAGCAAACAAGTGCAAGTCAGGTGTATGATAACCAGATAGTAAGTAAAACTCCCACTACTCTTCAAAATATGTCCTTAGTCTCAAATTCAGAAATCATTTCCCTAATCCACAATTCCCAAATCAACCATTCTGTGGTTTCTTACTCTGAGTGTGTAGCCAAGCAGTGCCTAATTAGGAACACTCTTTCAGCAATCCTTTGAAAATACAAAGCTTTTACAAAACCTTCCAACTCTGTTGTGTTGTGACAGGAGAATTAACTGCTGGCTCAAGACTCTTTGTAAATTATTCTCCACGTCTAGAAGATTATTTGTTAACCTTCTCTTCATACAATTTCCTAAGATTACCTGAAAAGGCAAGCGTTAAAAAAAATTTCAGACTTCTTTTCCCCAGTACGATATCAAGTTGTCTAGAAACACTGGGTTGAACTTGTTTTCTCCTTGTACTGATTGTCTGTCATAAAATTTTCAGTCATTTGTTGGATTTGTTTTTGGGACAGGCCAAAAAAGACAGTCAGCAACAGTGGAACACTGTGATAATAAAGGTCTTGCTCTACATTTGCCACTTGCTGGCTTTGGTTTGGGATTCACATAGACAAATGTTGCTTCCTTTTCCATGGGTATGCTCTGCACTTGTCCAGTAAAGACATTTGTATAAATGTTTGGATTTGGCTGACAGTGGCTGTAGAATTGACGATATGTTGTTTGCATTATTTCTGATCTAGGATAGACAGCTGTTATCAGTGGTTGACCTCGTGGGATAAGTAGCTGAGGAATCATCACCTCTGTGGATTGTGGCTTTCTGTGATGCCAGAAATCTGCTTTATATGTGGATATTAATGGCCACTGTTGTTGGCTGTCAGTCTGAATCGGAATCCAGGACATAAAATCTTTCTTAAATTCACTTCTTCTTCCAAAAGCAGTTTTTGCTCGACTTATAGCATTGCTCTACAGAAAAAGGGAAGGCAAATCAGTTATTATTAAAGTATTTGTATTGAACATCTCCTGTGGCAAATTTTTAAATAAGGCTATGCACCTTCAAGCAATCCCAGAATAACTAACACACTTGTGACAGATTAACATCTGTTTGAAGCATTCTGAGTCTCATCCAGGATTTTGACACTTAACGTTTCAACTATGACTTCACTTTATCTATGTAAAAATAGAAACTTGATTCTAATTAAAAGTACATCCCTTGTTAGTGCTCTTTCCACATACAGCTTTAATTTAAAATAAAATCAGTAAAATCCAAAGGGCTCATGTGATAGAATATGCAAGCTTGCAAAAATATGCCCATTAGAAAGTAGCACAAATAAAAATAGACCTATTGTAATGAGGCAACAGAATGGGAAGCCTTAGGATGTGTTGCATAAAAGTGTTTCTCCCTGACATAAAAATTACAGAATAATTTTGGAAATCGGAGACAAGCCTAAAGGATTGCAGTGTGAGTTTCACTTGGAAGAACAAATCTCATTATTTCAAATGGAAATTGCATGGGTTGCACATAGAGGTTGAAAACTCACAGCTCCAACATCCCAACATGTGTCATCATGTATCTGCTAGGAGCTTCTGCAATTGATGCTGTTGAGTGCTGTGGGAACATCTTGAAGCACGCTCAAAAAAAAGCAGGAAATGTGTTTTTATCCAACCACTTTAGACAATACCAACATTATCAACCAAAAAAGGTAAAAGGTAGAGGTTTGAGAAACAAAAAATGGGAGGAATTTTAATACCTTAGGAGGAAGCATGGGCAAGGAGACTGATGATGAGAAATGAGAAGTCAAATATAAATAAATTCTGAAAGTCAACTGCCAATTTCTTGTTTTAACAGCAGGTGAATGCAAGGTGAATACCTAATCAGTGGAAGCACGTTCGTCAGGAAAGAATTTTAATGTCTAAAATTTTATCCCTGTCCTAGATTCAGTGCTGACCTTTGGAAACCTACAGATGAAGGGGGATAAGAATGAATGAACAGATCACTGCCTTTCCAACACTGTTTGTGGGCCAAGGAGAGTTGGAATGCTTCATGCTGGTCCATCTAGCGTGGCTGTTTTCAACCAGGCAATCAGTTATCACCCTGTATTTAGCCCCACATCCTCCCCACTCCCCACAACATATCCAACACACCCACTGATGTCCATCGTGAAGCTTTTGCTTGGTACTGGAGGTCTAGCTACCCAGTCAGATAACCTCTCAATGTGGCTTGCTGGAGCCAGAAAATAGAATTTAAAAAATAGTAAAGAACTGATCCTCTTAAATTTACATACCCAACTTTCCAGCTACTAGAATGTCTCCCCATTAATACTGCAGCATTAACTCGAAATGATTTGAAGACCTGCTCCTTTCTGTTAACTGGGCAGTTGGATACTATCAAACATCAAGCCTGGGAACCACACTTTGTAAATGCTGTCTGAAGTGTGACCATCTCCACATGGCCAGATTTCTGCGTACTCACTGGCTGGAAACAATACTGTTGCTTGTATTCAGAGATTGGCATCTCAGCCTAATTACACCTGGACGGGTACAATTTTCAACCATGGAACATATGTTTGTGTTTTTAGTTGATAACCTTTCATATTCAGGTCAGAAACAATCGACAGTCCAGAATTCAGGGCAAAACCTGAATCAAGGCAAGAAACAAAATGTAGGCCTCTGATCACAAACTGTACCTCAACCTACTGAGAAGTTCATGATGGCCTCTAATACTAGAATTCTGTTCATTTAAAAATGTTTACTTTCTGTGCAGAAACTTTGAAACTGCAGAGTTGGTCTGTGCAGCTTGGTTACAGTTGTGAGCTCCACTAGCTTTCTCAGTATTGTCAGTTTCTTTCCATGGGTTAGATTAGTGATCAAGGGAGAAAGAAATAAAGGCCATTAAACCTGCACCAAGCCAGAGATTTGGGAATTTATTGTGTCTGAGATATTTTTAAATGTATTATTTATTCACAATGGTTGCACATAAAAATGCTCCAATGAAATGGTTACGTAAAAATGGCAATATGAAAAATTAATGTCAAAAGAAATGCCGAGCTTTACTTCTATGTATGGGAATACACCAAAAGGTCAAAAAAGGAAGTGTTAGCAGTGAGTTTCTGTTCATGGAGCTTAGGATGACTTTTATAGGTATCTGACTTTTGACTCCTTGAATGTCAGTATCCATTAAAGGGAATTGTGTAAGTCTCCTGTAGCTCCTTCATTGTGTTCCTCTGAATCTCCCATTGCTTAACGTGAGATATTTTAAGGCAAGATATCAATAGGAATGCACTTGTCAGAGAAAAATAAATAGATTTAAATACATAATTTTTAACAAATGCTGGCTTGTACAAGTATACCGATATTCTAATATATTTTTGTATTTCTGTTGGTGTGAAAAATATTTGGAGCGGTAGAAAATCTTTCAATTTTGTTGGGTTTGAACAAACAATTGACAACTTCAGTATCAATTTGTATCAATGATCTTGATGACAGTATTTGGAGTGCTGCCTTTATGTTTCTAGGTGTCATCAAGTTATGTGGTGATATCAACATTTTTATTGAAAGTAAAATTACAATGTGACCTGGACTATTGGAAGAATGGAAAGATGATGTTTAAACCGGATAACCAAATGCTTTGCATGGGGAAGGGCTATACTGCCAAGCATTTGTACTTCATGTTAGATTCTGCTTAAAAATTTATTGAGAGAGATCTAGATGATATAATGCATAAAGCTTTAAAGATTCTAGGCTAGAACTGACAAGCTATAGAAAAACATTATGATGATATACAGCTAAGAGGATTAAAGATAAAACAAAATTCTCCTTTTGGTTTTGCAAAATGATTTTCTCAAGCAAGATTCATGGCACACAGATTGCCATGCTCCATGTCAATTTTTCTCCCTCAATCTTCTGTTCTTCACCTCATCAATTTGCAACTGGCCTCTTCATTGCTGACCGCATGAAATCACACAGCAGTAGGGGCAGAAGTGCTCGCCTCTACTGGGACTTTGCGAAATTTGCGCCACTGGCACCATATTTAAACCCTAGCTGTCCACCCCTTCAGATGCTGTAAGCCCACAAATGACCTTCACACTCTGGTGTTCCACTATTATCCTCAAGAAAATAGCCCAGAAAGGCAAATTGTCTCCTTGGTTCTCTGACAAGACTTGGAGATGCTAATGGGCATGGTGATAGAAAAGAGGGCAATGCTTTCCCTGCTGAGGGAAAAGTGGGAACTTTATCACCATTGTTTATGATGCTCAAGTTAGAAAAGTATTCTGCCCAATGTCAGAATTGTTTTTAAAAAAAATGGGGATTTACCAGGATGGCTGCACAATTTTACAGCAAGTAATTTAATATCTATTGTGAACTCTGTTTTTGTGACTGTGCAGATGTTTACAAACCGAGGAGTTGTTTACAAGTGAAGTATATTGGTTCTCAACTAACTGAGCAGGTTGAAACTGGAAATGAGTTGCAGAGACCAGTCACAGAGAGCGGAAAGAAAACAGAAGTGTTGTGCTGTTGTTCTTCCCAGCAAAAGCTGCCTGTTCTTTGCAGTTAAAACAAAACTGTTTAAATTTGAAGAAAATGAATTACCTTTCCTACAGGTGATGTAAGCTGTGACTTTTGAATTTACAAATCAAACATTTTCCATGTGAATCACCCACCCTGTACTTCCTACAAACCAGTGGAAGCATCTAGAAGGAAGACACAGGAACAACAGGGGCAGCACACTGGCTTAGTCATTAGCACTGCTGCCTCACAATGCCAGGGACTCGGGTTTGATTTCACCCTCGGGCAACTGTCTGTGTGGAGTTTGCTCATTCTCCCTGTGTCTGTGTGGGTTTCCTCTGGGTGTTCTGGTTTTCTCCCACAGTCCAAAGATGTGCAGGCTAGGTGAATTGGCCATGCTAAATTGCCCGTAGTGTTCAGGGATGTGTAGATTAGGTGGGTTTGTAGGGGAATGGGTCTAGGGGGGATGCTCAGTGGGTCAGTGTGGACTTCTTAGGCCAAAGGGCCTGTTTCCACACTGTAGGGATTCTATGATCTATGAACAAGGGGTGTGGTTAGCCAAAGGACCATCATGTCAACATCTGAATCAGGGAGCAAAGATTACTGAACTGGTTTTCCTGTTTTTCTAACTCCATCAACAGTCTATTTCTCATGTGGGTGAGAGAAAAAGAGAGTCTATAAGGGAGTCAGTGTTTTAGTTAGTAGTATTATATGACAATAGTTTATATCTTGGTTTCTTGTAGCTATAAGTCAAATTACTTGTAAGAAATAATTCTTGGTTAGTACAGAAACCTGGTCCATGTTTTCAATAAAACTTGGTTTGAAAGACATACAAGTTGGGATACTGTGCATACTTTAAAAAAAACTAGTGTTTGGTATAACTACAGGAGTAGAGGGGTTCAATTTACAGTGCACTACCCAGTGGATCATAACAACATGTTTTAACTCCAGGGACCCTTATGGGAGTAAGTAATTGTTATCAACTACCCCATAGTCCCATTTTACATTCTATGCTATATCCAGACAGACTGAAATAAAACAGATCATTGAGTTACCACATCAACATGAATGTTAATGAATCATTACAATTTTGAGCTAGATTAGGTATCAAAGGGTTTTGTGAAGGATAATTGACTTTGAGAATTAATTATTGGTCCATGTTGTGGGTGCAGACTCACTGCAACTGTTCAACATGGAGACGGATAAATTCCTGGTGGAGATTGGTATTACTGTGTACAAAAGGTAAGTCGGATGCAGGTAACTAGCTTGTAGCTACTGCCAACTTCTAGAATTAGTTTCTCGTTATCTTTGGATGATCAGAGTTAAGTTTCTCAAAATTATTTTTCATTGAGCATCAGGCTATTTCAATCCTCAATGTTTTTCTGCCTCTTTCAAAACATTATTGGTGGGTAGAGAGCATTGAGGGTCATCTAGGATGCTGACCATTCGCATTGCAACCCTCCTTTCCCAGGGCTTTTCCAGTTACTGGTGAAGTGTTGTTTGGACTGCTTGATACTGCATTTGTCTGAATCCCACAAGCTGCAATGAGATGAAGCAGCTCGCCTACCCTGTGTAAATGAGATCCAAACTTTGAAATGGTTCTAGTCTTTCACTCCAAGCGAGGACGGACTGGTGGCCAGTGTGAAATGCTAGTAAATCACCCAAAGATTAAATCAGCCTCATTATTCTGGGACTTGATTTGGGTCTCTGACTTGATGCGATAATGATTTTTGGTACTGGGATTTAAGGGAGTGCTACTGTCATATATTTGAACTTCAGAGACACAAAACAATTAACAATATAGATTACTGCAAACTGTTCCTACTGATATCAACATATCATTCAGGGTTATATTATGTAGTGATAGTACACAGCATCAGTGATATCCCAAATTACAATAATCATGACACTTCAAAAGCATTGCATTACTTGTGAAGCACATTAGGAAGTTGTAGCAGAAAACTTGTAATTACTTTTATTCTATGCTTTTTGTTTATGTCCCATCCCTTTCGTGAAAGGCTTTTGTTTTATGATTCCTGCAAACTTCAGTGCAGCCTGGAGTGGGATTAGCATGCGTCAGAAATTGTGTATTACATTTTCCCCTTTTTTAATATCACAGTTCTTTAACTTTATGGTTTTATTGTTGGAACAGTATAGCCTGGATTGTATGACTGCAGTATTAGGCTGGATTTTGCTGTAGTAATGAATTAAAACATAAAATGTTATGTTTTTAAAATCTCTCAAAGACTGACTCTGTGCAGAATGAGATTGAAAACTTGAAACTGTTCCCAATCTGAGCCAAAGTGATTGATTGGCAGTACATTAACAGGTATTAGATTATTTGAAAAGTACCATTAGCTACAAGACTGAACATTCTGTGACATGTTGAATAGGTAATTCCATCAAGTCATTAAAAATAAGAAAGAAGCTAATGGCAGAGTAGCATAAGGTGACTAGCAGGTTCCAGCGATTTACCAGTCAAGCCATTAGCTCTCAATCCCTTGAATTCGCTGCCAATTTGCATAAAAGGTATTTGTTATTAACACAACATTATTTTTCCAGGAAGACTGATATGAATGCAGGAATCGTTATGTTGAAACTAATTGTCATACCCATCAATTAATATGAGTGTCTTTTATAAAATCATTTACAAAGTGACATGAAAGAAGCAAAACCATTTATTGCTGCATCAAGTATTGGTCTCTAAACTTACATTCTCCAGATAGGTGGCACCGTCATGAAACACTTGCCGACTATCATGTTTGGAAAAGTTATGTTTCAAAGGGTTCTCCTGAAACCAGAGTAAAAGCTATGTTAGTCAAAAAGACTGAATGGTGGTCAGTGTGACACTATAATGTACAAGAGAGTATGCAACATTTAACTGGGTCACTCATTAAAACAAGGGCATCTATGTAGTGGCTAAGGAGAGCTGGTCCATGCATTGATTTGTGGGAGAGGTCTCCTAAAGCCAGGATGGAATCAAGTGGGCCAAATGGCATCTTCTGAGCCATAATGCCACACACTAAAAAGAGTATGGAGGGGATTTAGATTGTCTCTTTTAGCTCATGAGTGTCCAAAAACCATGCAATGCAGAAGAATATCTGAAGGGGATTAAAGAGGTATATCTAATTCAATTCTCAAGCAAGAAATATAAGTAGATGTGGAGGAGCTAACTGGAGCCGCAATTCACTAAGTAATTGCTTCTTGAGAGCATTAATATAGGGTTTCAAATGGTACCTGATCAATTGAGACATTTCAAGAGAACCCATTAATCACTACACAAAAAGATTCCATTGCAAGGGTCTCATGAATGGCTGTTCATCAAGCACTACAAAACATAATTCCTGTTGTTACTGCTGACATTCAGGTAATATTGTATTCACATCCCAAACTTCACTTTTCACTGAATACCTGTGGTAATGATTATTCAGGGAGAAATTTTCAACTGTTGGTTGCTCATTTATCACCTGAGAAACAGGAGATGGGCAGAGTAAAATCTGGCAGAGATTTTACATGCCGACTTGGGCAGCTTCATTCAATTTGAAGACAGGCTTCTGTAAGGACACCTAGTAATCATGCAGGAATTTGTTAAAATATGCAAAATGGGAACAATTGTAGCATCATGACTGCAATTTTCATGGTGAAATGAAATAAATATGAAAAGTGCATAATTGCCAGTAAAATAAAGTCCAATATTAAAAGTGGCCTGAGCTGGTTAATGTAGAAATTGGGCAATTGCCACAACTGTAAAGCCTATATTGTACTTGCTTTGAAGTGAAACAAAAATCTCCTTCGTAAACCTCTGAAAGCAAGATCTTGTAAAAGATAAGTCCTGCAACAGCCAACTGAAACTTTTCAGATTTATGGCAAAGTACAGTATTTCAGAAAATTCATGCCTGATTAGAAACATGCCAGAGGAAAGAACTCCCATTAACAGCACATAAATGGGGATAAAGATGTAGGGGTTGAAGTCTGATAAATATCCCTGATATCAGCAAATATTCTGGAGCTAACTGGAACCGAGTAACTTTGTGCTTTGAACTGGTAACATGACATTTATTTTCATGTTCACGCTTTCCACAGGATTTGCTGATCACTGTGATGTAAATATATCTTTGATGTCTGTAGTAACTGTAAACCATTTTCTTCAACAGTTTGTTCTGGGTCTAATGGTTGAACACAAAGAAATGGACCTGGTCAAATTTCTGCCTCATTACATGGCTAATTTGTAGGACAAGCATCACGAATCTTTGCTATATTACAAATGTTACACAGGACTGTGAATTTCAGTCTTATGAGGGCCATAAAGTGACAACAGCAAAACCCTTTTAATATTTCTGTGTACACTTTATTAATGTGTAATTGTGAGTAATCATCACACAGATTATTCATGTTGATTAATTAGAAAGAAAAGTCTGTTTGGCACAAATAAGATGAATTGTTGCTGTGTTCTTGTATGACTAAACTCCTGATATTATGGATTATATCACTAATGAGTACTGATGAGTTTGTGCATAGATTACCTGTAAATGACACTTTAAATTAATCCTGAGTTTTAGGATTAATCAGTGTTACAAACACCTCAATATATTTATGATTCATTTATTTAGTTAATTTTGTTATGCAAGGAATTTTTGTATGGAAGGAAAAGAATTTTTGTCTGGAATGAGTGTAACTGTATACATTTTATGAGCAAAATTATGAAATCTTGCAGATCCTTCATTTCTTCCTTAATTGTAAAGTGACATTAGTTTGCAATAATCTGAAGATGTTGTTATAATTATGAAAGTGAAGAGGGCACAAATTTCTTCATATTGGAAAATCGATACATCAATGTTAAACTGTAATTTTGATAGTAAGGATTGTAAGGAGAGAAGATAGGAGAAATGTACTTAACAATGTTAAAACAACTTCTGTTGATTAAAACTTCTCAAGATGCTACATAGAAACATTATTAAACAATATTTGACAGTGAACCACATAAAAATATATGACAGGAGCAACCAAAAACTTAGACGAGACAGGCTGTTGGGAACAGAGATATCAAAGCATGGGATGCTTTTATTATATTTGTTCATGGGATGTGGTTATTGCTGGCTAAGCAAGCATTTATTGCCCATCCCTAATCACCTAGGAGGGCAGTTAAGAGGCAACCACATTGCTGTGTGTGTGGAATCAGGTTGGATGGCAGATTTCCTTCCCTAAAGTACACTATTCAACTAGATGGGTTTTTATGACAATCAACAGTCACCATGGTCACTATCAAGAGATAGTAGGAACTGCAGATGCTGGAGATTCTGAGATAACAAGGTGTAGAGCTGGATGAACACAGCAGGCCAAGCAGCATCAGAGGAG